TCATTCAACTTAAAACCAAATTAGTCAAAATCTTCATACTAATTAAATGACACAAAGACAAACACGCTTTCTAGCCTCTTCTGGCTCATTGTTTTGGTTCTGCAGGATACTGAGTCCATATTCAAGTCTCAGTATTCTTATAGAAGTCGACTGTTTTCAGCAGAAAAACTTCAAATAAACCCTGCAACAGCTACCCAGTGGAGCTTTTAGCCAGCGAGTCAGATATTTTTCTTAGAATTTGGTGGAGAGAAGCCAAATGTAAGACACTGAATAAAAAAACTCAAATTCAAGTGGACACAAAGACAGCTCCAACTGAATGCTAATGTCTCTTCACATCCACTGGTGTGCTTTTCAGCTTGCTGTGCGTTTATTCCTTCTTCAAATGACCAACAGAAATCAATCCAAAAAAAACAAGCTCCAAGCAGAGACGCTGCTGCACAGGTGGGACTACATTAGGCTGACGTCCACTTGAGGACGATTTGTTCACATGAAAGAGCGTCACAGTGAGCCTTCGCAGTGCCACAGTGAGCCGGCACAAATGTACGACCCTGAAACCAGAATCGAATTTAGTCAGTCTTTCATTTCATTCATTCATACCTGCGGTTTTATTGTGAAAACGTGCAGAGAAATAAAATTAATTTTTTAAACGGGGGCCTGTTGGACGAAGAATTTTCTGACATGTCGACTCCACGGCGTCTTTGTTTCAACCTTCATTTACACAGTCGGCTCTAGTTCGGCACATGTTCCAGCAAAGCTCTGCTCTGCATTCAAACCGCTACACACACACACATCCACCACTGGGAGTTGGCCAGTACAACCACAGCCTCTGCTGCTGGCTACTGGAGCCGGTTGGGGGGTTAGTTTGCTCAAGGGCACCTTGAGCTGATGCTGTTCTGGGTTGCCAAAACGGCACCATTAACCGCCTCAACCGGCTGACCCTAAAGCCAGTTTTTTATGCATGTGTGTGTGTGTGTGTGCTTAAAGTGCCGGAAACAAGAGGCCGGATTTAATCTCTGTGCAACACAAACGCAAGAATCGACACGAAATAGATAGAATGAGAAGGAGAGGAGAGATGGAGGGGAGGGGAAAGTGGAAAGAAAATGGGAGACAAAGATAGAAAGAGTGAGGAAGTAGTAGAGGAGTCCCAGCACTCTCTGGCATGCACAGATATTATTCATTGAGAAGACGCCCTGAAGTGCAAGGCTTTGAGCCACCTGAGAGTACGCAAAAACACACAACAAGCACACACACACACACACACACCGTGACTTACAAACAACTGCGAACACAAATAATGCACGAGCAGGAGTGCACGGAAAAATCTCTCTGCCACGAGAAAACATTGTTCAAACGTGCACTGACATACAAATCAGCCGCGCACACGCCTGCAGAAACACACGACATACAAGGAGAGGAAAGAAGGGAGAGAAGAAAGCAGGAGAGAGGGGTTGAAAAGAGGATGCCATGGAGGAGAAGCAGCCCGGGAGAGTTGTGTGAGGATTACAGCGGAGTATTGAGGAGCTGGAGAAGAAGAGGACGATTGATTATTGAATGTGGAAGAAGGGACAAGAGCAGGTAGACAAGAGAGGCGTGGTGGAAAAAAAGCAGGAAAAGAGAGAGGAAGAAAACCGAGAGGGATTAAAACGAGAAGAATTCCCTCGTTTATCCATGCGAAGATGGGTAGAATAGAGGAGAGGAAGAAGAGAGTGAGGGGGTTTGTGGGTAACAGATAACACACTGCACACAATGAAAGTGACAGCTTTGCTCAGAGCTCGACTCCGGCTGACTGTTGTTTCATTATAATCTCATAACTGTCAAATCCTGGAGCAATGGGAGGGAGAGGAGGGGAGAGGAGAGGAGGAAGGAGGGAGAGGAAGGGTGAGGGAGGGCAGAATAGTTTCATAGTGTGAGAGGAGTAGTGAGAAAATTGGAAATGAATCCGTGCGTCGGGTTCAGCCGAGCTGAAGGAGACGCAGATGGAGCCTCACGTAACACACATGCATAGTGTTTAAGGTACACACACACTAATGTATGCAAAAAATAGCTTTGTTTAATATTCACTCATTCATTCACTGTTCATCTTAATTCATCAGTAAACCTGCTATACATGCACACATTTACACTTGTGCATTTGTTCATCTGGATTTTTGTGCACCTGTTCATTCATTCCTTCACTTTCCAGTCTCACATTTGTTCACTCTGTCAGGTGTTTGTATTCTATGGTGGCATTAAAACTATTTGTAAATGTGTATGGACAGTTGTGTGTCCGTATCTAGATCTGTGTGTCCGTAGTGAGATTTGTAAATGTGTAGAAAGATATTAAAAGATGAAAAGTATGTGGCTCTGAGTGGTGGAAATACAGACACATCACCAGTTGCAAGTCAAGCCAGCCTCACCATTGGCTGTCTTTTTACACATGACTTCAGCTAAACTTCTGCCGTGACAGATTTGTATCTATAAGGTTTCTTTGCCCTGAGCTCTGGTTCTCAGGCTCGTTCATTCCGGCTGCGTCGCCTGCCAGCTATCATGAAAGTTTTTGCTCAGCGACCCACAAACTCAGCAAATTTAACTTGTTCACATAAACCAGACAACTTAAAACCTAAAACCTCATCCTGTGTATATAGTCTCATTTTTAACTTGTTCACTCTGTTTGCTTTTCATTCACTCATTCAAGTTCCTGCTCTGCTGCTTTCTCACATTCTGACACGACTCTGCAAAGTTCGAACCGACTCACTCGTCCACTCAATCATTAATGCTTGCCCTCACTCATTCACTTCCTCACTCATTCACTTCCTCACCCACTTACTAGTCATTCCTTGTCTCTTTCTCTTTAACTCACTCACTCATTGATCACTCATTCACTGTTTATTTTAGTTATTTCTTGCGATATATACAAACATTATCTTTCAGTTGAACTTTGTTTACTCATTCACTCACCCACTCATTCATTCACTTCTCAGTCACTCATGCATTTGTTCACTGTGTCAGGTACTTGTGTACACTCACTTGTTCACTTGTCACTTTCTCTTTAATTCACTTATTCATGTTCCTCTCCACTATGTTCTCACTTTCTGACATGACGCTCAAAGTTCTCACCAACTCATTCGTCCACTCACTGTCGCTTACCCTCACTCATTCATTTGTCGCTCTCTTCTCTTTAATCCACTCATTCAATGTTGATCTGAAGTCATTACAAGTTGTTCCTTTGCTTCATATGCACACATTTTCATTCATGCATTCATTTAGTTGAAATTTGTTCACTCAGTCACTCATTTCTTTACTTTTCAGCCGCTCACACATTTGCTTTCTCTCACTTCACCGTGTTTCACTCACTTGTTCACTTGTCAATTTCTCTTTCATTCACTTTTTCACTTTCAGCTACCCTCACTCGTTCATTCTCTTGTCACTCACTTGTTTTCTTTCCCTATAATTCACTCACTCATTCACTGTTCATTTGAAGTCATGTCAAGTTGTTTCTTTGCTTTACATGCACACGTTTTCCTTCATGCACAGTTACATTTTGTTCACCCATTCACTCACTCATCTTCTCATTCCATCACTTTTCAGCCATTCACACATTTGTTCACTCTCTCATGTCACCATTCTTAACTCACTTGTTCACTTCTCGGTTTCTCTTTGATCCACTCATTCACGTTCCTGCTACTTTCTGACATGACTCTGCAAGTCTCAACAAACTCCCTCGTCCACTCAGTCACTTCCACTTACCCTCACTCGTTCATTCCCTTACTCACTCACTCCATCACTTCCTCGCCCACTTATTTGTCCTCTCTCGTCTGCTCATTTGTCAGTCTCTTTCTCCTTAACTCACTCACTCCATTGATCCCTCCCTCACTTTCTTTCTGTTCCCTCCTCACCCGCTCATCCAAAATGACACCAAAGCCGATACACAAAAGCCGACGTCACCGCCGCTGAAGCTCGCGTAAAAACAGTGTAAATAGGGTAGCAGGCCACACACGCTCCCCAGCCGGCGCTAAAGCTTTCTGACAGAATACAAATAGAGTCGCAACCAGCCAGGTCTTCAAAGCAACAGCACTGCGCTCGTATTCTCTCCCCCTCTTTGCTTATTTGGTTTCTGAGGCTTTGATCACTGACACCAAAGAAGCCTGAAAAGCTTTTAGGAAGCCTGTATTTGAAACGCTGAAGCCGGGAAATGTAGAACAAAAAGAAAAAAAGTGTCCTGCATAGTTACCAGCTTAAATATCATTTTAACACTGAGCCAAAAAAAATCAGACTGAGGAGGTGAAATGTGAAATATCCTAAAACAGAGCTGCTGCTGCTGCTCTGTTTCATCAGGAACTACATGAAAAAAGAACTGATATGATATTATTGGATATTTCGCCGTCAGTCAGAGTTGTGCACGTCCTTGTTTCCCTCCTTAAAAAGATTTTAATTAACTGATAAAATGGCACTGACACACCCAAAAACAACATATTAGCTTTGCACCAGCTGCTTGCATCTCATAAACTGCAGGGCAATAATGCAAAGTAAAAAATCTGAGCTAATACTTGTCACCAGACATTATTAAAAAGCGCCTTCAAATATTCTTAACACTTTGTCTCCACCCTGTCATGTCTTCTCACATGCAATCCACATGACACATCACATATTTTCTCACACACCTCCCACGCCTCTTCAACACTAGCGTGAGTCTTGTTACCTCATGTGCTCTCAGGTAAATCTAAACTAAAAGAACAAAACCCCAGCTCCATCACTGCCCATATTTCTGTCAATCGGCACAACCTGCATCCACATTCAGCGTCAAAATCAAACTTGTTCTTTCATGAGCACAAAAGGAAAATGTAAAAAGCACAGCACAGAGGGCATTCACAGACTCTCACACACCAGCCTGCAGTGTCGGGAGTCCTTATCTTCACAGTATTTGTTACACTGAATAAAGCTAAAGGGGAGTCTAAACTGACTAAACACTCCCTCCCTCCCAGCCGGTCCTCCCATTTTTTTCCCCCTCCATGGTCTCTTACCCGTGACGGTGATCAGCATGGGAGCCACCAGCGGCCTGTTGTTATCCAGTTTTCGGCTCAGTCGGATCTCTCCGCTGGTGTGATTCAGCAGCAGCAGGTGAAGCTCGTTGCCCCTGTCGATGGTGTAGTACAGCCTGTCGGACACGTCGGGATCGTGGGCGGGGACCCTGCCGATCACCCCGCTGGGAAAACTGTTGGACCGGTTGGACACGAAGTTGTTGAAAATGATTTGAAAGTCCTGCAGGGTCGGCCTGTTGTCGTTCTGGTCCACCAGTCGGATCCGGACGGTGGCCCGGCTGACCAGAGGAGCCGACGTGGCCTGGACTACAATAACATACTCGTTCCGGGCCTCGTAGTCGAGATCAATGAGCGAGGTGAGCTCTCCTGAGAAGATGTCCATCTGAAAAATCTCAGGGATGTTGCCCTCTACGATCTGGTACATAATCTGAGCGTTGGCGCCCTCATCCGGGTCGGTTGCTGTGATCTGGGCGACCACGGAGCCGACGACGCTGTTTTCCTTCACCAGAACCTCAAAGTCGTCGGCGGGGAAGACGGGGGCATTGTCGTTGACGTCCAGGACCGTCACCTGGATGTGGACGGGGGTTCGTTGAGGGGGAACACCTCGATCCACGGCGTAGGCAGTGAGTTCATAGAACGGCACGCTCTCACGGTCCAAACGCCGAACAGTTCGGACGATTCCGGAAGTGGGTTCGATGGTAAAATCTCCATCCCCATCTTCACCGTTTTGGAAGGTGTACTGAACCCGACCGTTGGCGTGGGCGTCGCGGTCAGTTGCAGAGATTTGGAGGACGCTGGTGAATGGAGGAGCATCTTCACTCACAGTTCCCTGATATCTGGGACTGAGGAACTGAGGTGCATTGTCGTTCACGTCATTCACATTCACCTCCACGTATGTTGTGTCTGATTTCTGTGGTATGCCATTGTCTTTAGCAGTTATAGCCAACGTGTAGGTCATCTGGTCCTCATAGTCCAGCTCAGCCTGGAGCGTTATAGCCCCTGTGGCTGGGTCGATGCGGAATTGTGGGATATTGTCCTCAAGGAAGTAAGTGATCCGAGCATTTTCACCAACGTCGTCATCAGTGGCACTGATCACAACCACAGTGCTTCCAGGAGGCCGGTCCTCGTTCACGCTGACAGAGTAGTGGGCGCTCTGGAAGACGGGCCGATGTGTGTTGGCATCTGTGATGTTGATGTGCACCTGACAGGTGTCGTGGAGCGTTCGGTCCGAGGCGGTGACGGTGAGAACGTAACGCCGCTCCTGTTTGTAGTCCAGAGGGAGCGCTAGGGAGAGAAGTCCTGCCCCGCCTGCTGTGCTGATAGCAAAGCGGTTTCTGGTGTTTCCTCCGGTTATCTGATAGGTCACCGCGCTGTTGACATCGCGGTCCACAGCCGTGACAGTCACCACACTGGTGCCCACCGCTGCATCCTCATTCAGCCGAGCATAGTATTCCTTCTGGAGGAACTCGGGCCGGTTGTCATTCACATCCATCACTGTTATGGTAACGCTTGCCGTAGCAGAAAGAGGCGGCATACCATAATCCCTGGCCTCCACACCAAAGAAATAGTGCTCTACGGATTCTCTGTCAAGAATGGAGCTGACAGTGACCCAGCCTGTTGCAGAATTGATTACAAATGGTGTGTCAGAGCTGGTGCCAGTCAACCTGTACTCCAGCCGGGCATTATCACCAGAATCTGTATCAATGGCCTGGATGTGGAGGATGGAGCTTCCAACTGGGGCGCTCTCGAGCACAGAGGCCTGGAACGGTGTGGAGACGAAGATGGGTGGGTTGTCGTTCACGTCTGTCACTTGCACGCTGACAATCCCAGTGTTGTTGGAGAGAGGAGGCCGCCCGTTGTCCTGCGCTCGAACCCGGAGCGTGTACTCCCGTTCGGCCTCGTAGTCCAGCGGCGCCACCACCTGGATCTCACCAGTGACGCTGTCGATGGAAAACTGTCCACGGCTGTTCCCGCTGATGATATTATAGTGAACGGCGGCGTTGCTGTCCTTGTCGCGGTCGGTGGCGCTCACACGAAGGATCTCGGAGTGAGGCCGCACATCCTCCTTCACCGCCACCACATAGCGCTTTTCACTGAACTGTGGCACATTGTCGTTTTCATCCAGCACGGTGATGAAAACTTTGACGGTGGCCGAGCGCGGCCCCGGATCCTTTCCCTGGTCGCTGGCCTCCACCTGGAGCGTGTAGTGCTCATTTGTTTCACGGTCCACCAGTCCTCTAGTCGTAATGAGGCCGGAGCGCGGGTCAATCTCAAAGGCCGCTCTTGCTATCGCAGCTGTGTCACCGATAAACCGGTAACGAATATTGGCATTTGAGGGGGAGTCTGAGTCCGTTGCTCTCAGCTGCAGGATGGGATAACCTTCCTCCACGTTCTCCCTGATCGTCTCCCTGTACTCTGACTGCTCGAATATGGGAGAGTGGTCGTTCCGGTCTGCAACAGTAATGGCCACCATTGTGGTGCCAGACAGGCGAGGGGAGCCATAATCGGTCGCCGTGACCCGGAAGTAATGCAGATCCATGTGCTCCCTGTCCAGAACCTGAGTGGTGGTGATGAGGCCCGTGTCTGGGTGGACGTGGAAGTAGTCGGAGGATCGGCTGTTCATCAGGGGGGCCATGCTGTAGCTCACCCTGCCCGCATCCCCTGCATCTGCGTCTGAGGCGGACATGAGGATGACGGAGGTGCCGGGCGGCTGGTTCTCGGCTACTTGCACTTGGTAGTTATAGAGGGAGAAATGCGGGTGTCTGTTGGCTGCACGTCTGGATCGAGGCCATGCCATCAAAACCTCCCTTTCTCCCTGTGAGGTTTCATCACCTGGTGGCATTATCAGGCGTTCCAGGCTCCTCTCTCCCCTTGAACTGTGCCTCTGCTCCCCCTCTCTCTCACCCCCCTCCTGGCTTTCATCCTCTTTCTTCCCTGTTTTGCTATCTGGCTGTGTGATGATGGTGGTGGTGGTGGTGCTGCTGCCCCCATCCTGACCCTTCCCTCCCTCTGCCTCTCTCTCCTCTGCCTGCTTTGTTATTCCCTCTTCCTCCTCTCTCCCCCATATCAGCCGCGCCTCTCCCTCGCCCTCCCCCACCTGTAATTTTCCTCCCCAAGCAGCAACAGCATCAGCCGCGGAGCCCTCTCCCTCCCTCCCAGCATCCCTCTCCCCCATCTGCCGCCTATCTGGCTGTCTAACACCTCCGGGCTCTAATGGCACTTGCTTACCGGGTTTTAATTGCATATGCGCGCCACTGTCCCTTCCACAGTCGGTGGAGATGCTGTCAGTTGCGTGGACCGTGTCTCGCAGCGCGCCTCTCTCCCACACATCTTCCCGTCGCGTCTGATCGTGCCAAGGCGATTTCTCGATTTCAGATTCACGACTGTAGCCGTTTATTCCCTCCTTCTCCTCCTCCTGGTTGTTGTTATTATTATTATTACTGTTGCTGTTGAATTTGCTCCACAAAAGCACAATCTGAGCGCCGAGGGGAGCTGTCCGCTGTGCTGAAATCACGTCCTCCGTGGAGGAGGGTGAGTGGAGCGGAGGGTCGCGCTGCCACGCGGTCAGGTTAATTTGCGCGGAAAACGAGAGGTGCGTTTCTGTAATCGGATCAGACTGCGTGAGAAGACGCGGAGATACAACTGGAAACTTAGCAGACGAGAAAACGCCTGAGTCACCGGCAGACTCTCTCTCTAAAGTTGCTCTCGCTTCTATTTTTTCTGCAGAAACGCGCAGCGCAGTGAAGAGTTTTCCACTCTGTGCGTAATCGTCTGTTTGTGCCCGAGTGGGCGTACCGAGCACCGGGCCAGAATATTTTGTTGTGGAAATGGCGTTTTTGTTGGATATAAACTGTTGGCTGTGCGTCTCTGCGATGCTACTGAGGGTAAATTGGATAAGGAGATTCCTCTGAGCTACGCCTCCCTCGGGGACCGTAAACTCGACTAAATGTCCATCCCCCATTTCTATTCTGTCCAAACAACCACCGGGAACCACCCTGCGCTCTCCCCGGGTTTGCCCCCTGGTCGCTGGTACTGATTTCCCCTGCTGAAGCCCATTAACATCGCTACATAGGAGCGTCAGAATCGGGAAAGCCAAATCATTATCCGCGTAATTAGATAAATTAATGTGTTTGTTGCCTTGCCTCACCCCTCCTCCTCTCCCACCCTTTACCTCTCTACTCTCATCCCTCTCCTCGTACATATTTCTGACACAGTTAGACGTTGCATCGCGGAGAGGGGGTAACCAAAACCCAAGCTGCGCCCTGGCACGGCGGGTAATAACCTCCAGCGCGCTACATCTGTCCTCCTCATCACCTCCCCATCTCATCGCCACCCCCTCATTCTCTCTGCTCCTAACGCACCCCGGCAGCCAGCTATCATCTCCCCCCTCTCTGCTGGTCTTGCTGCTGCTGGGATCGATAACATTGTGCCTGCCCAAATGAGAATAATTACCAGCCCTCCTGTCCACGCCAGCATCCCAAATCTCCTTGTTGCTGCTATTCCTGGGAACCGGCTGTTGCTCATTTTTACCAGAGGAATTATAAGTTGAAAAATGATAAATGTAGTCCAGTTTTGATGCGGGGATAGAATCTGAGGTGTTGCTGAGGGTGAGACTGGATTGGAAGGTGTAGTTTGAAGCATCAGCATGTGGTGAAATGTATCCGGAGAGAGGGCGGCTGCAGGTTGGAAAGGCGCCAGGTGAGGGCTTGTTGGCCGGGGAGAGGGCTCGTTTGTCGGGGCTTGGCCGGTGGACTTGGCCGGGTGTCGGGGAGCACCGTGTTGCAAAGGGCCTCCTCACCTCGCGAGCCCTCTCCCACACCTCTCCCCCCTCACTTCCGGGTGCCCCGCGCAGGCCAGAGGCGTGCACAAAGGCTCCGGCGGCACCACGTTTGGCGAGGTGTGGCCTCGACGCCGGCCACCGTTGCGCGCACGTTCTAGTCCTTTGTACTGCCCTTTTCTTGCCGTTTTGAACCGGCGACGAGGTGAAAGCAGGTGAAGCGGGAGGTGAAACAACGCCCTTCCTCCTCCTCCTCCTTCTCCCAAGCCCTCCTCTCTCCTCCACTCCCTCTCCCGCGCCGCCGCCGCTGCCGCCGCCACCGCCATCGGACCTGCTCCTAATACCGGGATGGAGAGGATGAGGTGGAGGCGGCGGTGATGGAGCCGGAGGGCCGCCTGCACTCTTCCAAAACGTCCCGACTCCTTTCAGTCTCTCTTTCCGTGTCCCCCTCGCACCATCCGGCTGATATCCTCCTGCGCGCTGCACTCCACAGCATCCCTCAGTCTGTATCCGCTCTACGGTCCACCTGCTTGGGCGTAGATTCCAGCTGCCCCTCGGCGACTCCCCTGCCTCCTCGCACTGCTGCTGCTGCTGCTGCTGCTGGCTCACTTTACCGGCGTCTCGGTAGCAGAGGCCCGGGGTCCATCTGTTGGAAGCCCCTCCTGTATTCACCGTCCCCGGGGCGAGGGCGAACAAAGGGCCGAGGAGAAGCAGGTGGAGTGCCAGAGACGAGAGCAGGAGCGGGGTGAAGCCCGGTAGCGGTGCAGCCATTTAGTCTCTTCCTTTCTCTGTATCTCCCCCTCCTTTCTCCCTCTTCCACCTCTGCCTATTCTCCCTCTTTCTCGCCTTCCTTCCTTCCTTCTTCTTCTCCCCCTCCGTTACTTCTCTCGCTCTCTCTCTCTCTCTCTCTCCCCCTCGTACCGGCTAGGTGGCCAGTTCCAGGACCGCCAGCACCGCCCGACACCTTCCCCCAGGCTCCCCCGTCTCTCTGTCGGCCTGGAGAGTTGGCATCTACCCGCTGTGGTCCGTGGAGCTGGAGGTCTGAGCGTTAGGAGCGGCGCGGCGACGGCAGCATCTCTCCTCCCGTTCATTCACATCCAACATGGCTCACACACTCGCACCGACTGACTGGCTGGCTGCCTCACACACTATCCTTCAGAGAGAGTGTGTGTGCGCTGCCTCTGTGCATGTGTGTGCGCGCTCCTGTAGCACTATCCATCCATCCACACTCACACAATCACGCTCTCCTCCTCTCTCCTTTTTTTCCACCCCTCCCCCTATTGCTTGCATCTCTCTCCCTCCCTCACTCACTCTTGCCCTATCTCTCTCCCCCTCTTACTCCCTTCCTCGCTCTCTCTCTCTCTCTCATAATGGTTGGCTCCGGTGCGCAGGGCTGTTACACCCGCGGCGGCCGCCATATCCACAACTGGAGGTTTGGAGAGGAGGGAGGGAGGGAGAGGAAAGCCTGTATCTTACACAATCACACCGTCATCACCTTATTTATCATCTGAAGAATTATCATTTTCACCAGGGTTATAGACACACCCAGGAATGCGGCTCATCCACTGGTGATTCCAGGACTTTATATTTGCTTTTTTTTTTTTTTTTTTTTTTTTAGCAAATAAAATAAAATAAAAATTACGCAGCAATTGCTTCTGCAAAACAAGTGATAGAAAATAAGAGGAAACAAGATGAGGATTGCAATTCTGCTGTGATTAAACATGATGTAATATTCAGGATATTTCACTCCTAAAAGTCTCAAGTTTTCCAGGGTTTTTTTTTTCCCTGGACGTCCATTCCTGATATCAACCTCGTGCGTAAAGCTGCGCCGTACAGTCCGTCCGGTGATGTAAGCTTAGGTGAGCTCCAGTAAAAGTGACGTCATCTCCCTTATTATCACCGATGAGTAATACACACACACACACACACACACACGCACAACTACACACACGATCCCTCACAGATATTTGCTGTAGTATTCCACAAAAAAAAAAACTGTATTATAGGATTACTGTGATTGCACATGCGCTCAATCACCCCAATTTAACACTAATTTGCGCACGGCTAAATGGGCAGATCCATTTCCTGATACTTATTGGAAGAAGGGGGAGAAAAAAAAATCACATTATGCAAATATGTGGGCTACAAATTTCCTCCAACATCCACTCACAATCTCCTCCGTTCAATAGCAATTTATAAAGCCGGCAGGGTGGTGTAGTTTTTCTTTTTTTTTTTTTAATGACACGGCTCAAATTGAATATGATTCCTTCCCGTGGCTGATGGGAGGAGATACACAAGGCGTGTCAGAGGCTGAGGAGAAGCCGAGTCTGAGCCCCGGAGCTGCGTGACCGAGCGTCCACATCCATCCAGTGCTCTCGTCTCTCTTGGGTTGTTGTGAGACTGGTTTCTGTGGCATTTAAGAGAAGCAAATGTCCTCACAGGGATGGGAAAATGAGAGGAGATCCTCCAAACAGTTTTTTCAGTTTTTCACCTCCTTGAGAAGTTATTCTTGTTTGGTGGTTTTTGTTAAACTGTTAAACTGAGGCTGAAGTCAGATGATATGAGCTATGAGGAAACAGGGCTGAGAATTGAACTTCAGCACTTCTGTGGACTTATATTTTCAAAAAGTTTTTAATTTGGTGAGCAACATGACAATAAATATATGTTTTCGCAAAGTATGAAAGACCTTTTTTATGCCTTAAACATCAGAGAGAGGTAATGTATCACCGCAAGTACAAAAAAATATGACATAATAAAAAAAAAAACACGCACAAGAAAAACAATTGTGTCCACCATAAAGATGCACATAACAGTGCTTCTTGATTGTTGTGTTTTTGTAATTCTGTTGAGGAATTATTGCCAGAAGTTACTTCATATATAGTAATTATGTGCAATTTTGAGGGAAAATTTAAGTTATCTAGTAGCTCACACATAAGCAGCAATAAGGTGTCGGCAGAAGAATAATTTGAATAATTCAACAGCAAAAGTTCCAATCAAAGTGAATATGAAAGGACCAGATTGAGAACACAGATGCACAACCTGGACAAAAATATAAATGCAGCTTGTAAATTGTGAGCTTTTCTGACTTGGAGAAAAACTTTTTTTTTTTTAATTCTCATTAGTTTTTCTTAGAAATGGGTTCAGTTTTGCAATCTGTGCATGAAAAGTTGTCCAACCACTTAGTTAATCTACTTCCTGGCCACATGTGGTTTAAAGGACAACACTCCAATAGTGTGACCAGAACATAGACTCTCCTTTGAGCAGAGACTATATGAAGCCGCCTTAAAATGCAGCTTTATTAGGAAATTGGCAAAAATGGACTGCATATATTTCTACCATTAGACAGGACTTCAAGTAAACTTCTGTTAAATATCACTGTTAATATCATGACTGTTACTGTCATAATTAGTACTATCTCTCTTTCTCTCTCCTGATCGTCCTGCTTCATTCACAATGAGAAATCTGTACAGGTCTCTTAAGGCATTTTTTTTCTGATGATCTATACTTGCCAAAAGGTCTTCTTGTTCAGTGCTTTTGTGTGTCTGTTTACAAAATGAAAAATTAATAAAAAGAAAACAACAAAAAAAATGCAGCTTTATTCAAGTGACGCCACAGATGACAAGAGGAAGATAAAAACATGTCAGCAAGGGGTGAAGTCAGACAATTCAGTGTTCGCAAATTCATCATTTGTCATCTAAGAAATCACCTGTCGTGGAAATACTACGCTTGGATTCTAACCTCACATAACATTTGGGTTGTCCATAAATGTGATATTGTTCACAATGTGGAGATAAAAGTTCATTACTGTAATTGGGAACAGACAGAGATGTCACTCCTCTCTCCCCCAAAGAACAAGAACAAATGCTTTTAAAGTGAACAAACTCTTTTCCTATTGGCTCATTGTACACAGGTTATAAGTTTAAACCCGATCACACAGTGTCTCATACCGTGTAAGAAATGCTGAGTCCATCTCTCCAAAGAAGAAAAACATATCTTCTGATTTGGCCTTAAAACGTAACTCTTTTGACCCCTTAGGCATCTCTTCCATAATTATAATAATAATCTACTGACATGAAATCGTTCCCCGACAACAATGGTATCCATCCATCCATCGATTCATTATCTAAACACTGCTTAATCCTCACTAGGGTCATGGGGGGCTGGAGTCTATCCCACCAGTCTATCACAGGGCTACACTTAGAGACAGACAACCAAGCACACTCACATTCACACCTACGGACAATTTAGAATCACCAATTAACCTCAACATGTTTTTGGACTGTGTGGGAGGAAGCCGGAGAACCCGGAGAGAACCCACACTGCACGGGGACAACATGGAGACTCCACACAGAAAGATCCCGGGTGTCCTAACCGGGACGTGAGCCGACGACTTTTTTGCTGTGAGGCAACCGTGCTAACAACTGATCCACCTTGCAGCCCAACAAAGGTAAATGTATATAAAATGAACAAATAGGATAATGTATGATAACCTCAGAGCTCACTAGTGACTCTACTAACAGAAAATCTTCCACATGATGCTGCGGATGTCTGACAACATGATCCACCAACTTCCCCGAGCCCTTTAAGAAGACTTCACGCTGTTCCTAAATCGACATCAGCCATGCCAACAACTGTTTATTCCACTATGTTAAAAAGACTGAATAGAATTGAATAAAATCCTACATCCTGTGTTTATACGTTTGTTCAAGTGCTCGTGTGCCACCTTCCTGCCTACGTATCAAAGATCCCGACAGAAAGCAGAAGCAGGTCAGAGACTGTATTGAGTTATCCTCAATGAGGTGGAACCACTAATTAAAATTAAATGTCACAAATGACACTTCCCCACAAAACAGCGCCGTGACGGTTTGTCTAGTGTGTCCCCGTCAGCTTGGATTCCTGCCTGTTTTGTGTTTTTTTTTTCCTCCCAAAGCTGCTCGAAGCTTGGAGCCCTGCCACAGCAATATGGTACTCCACAATGCATATCCTCCTCCTGCTCCAAAAAAATAAAAAGATTTGGATGCACAAAAGAAAAAATGTCCTCCCTCCCCTCTCGGCCGTCTCAGGATTTGCTGCCTTTTTTTTTTGCCCCCATCGTTCCTCCGACACCCTCGGCGGCAGTCAGCGAGTGTGATTACTGTGGAATGTAGGTTATTGTGGCGCAGGCTGGCGGCGTTAACAGGATTTGGAACGGGCGCGTGTCGGGGGAACATGAGGACGTCTAGACGAGCGGTGACGAGGCGGCGTGAGGATCGGCGTGACAGGTATTACTCACTTTACCAAGTGGCAGACTTAGACGTAATGATAGCTTTCTCGCACGAGGAGCTTTTTGTTTTTCTTTGCCGAGGGGTCAGAGGTCAAAGCGGCCCGCCGAGCGAGCAAGCTGGAGCCTCCATTAAATCCTCCTCCTTGCTGCTCCGTCCCCCCAAAAAAATCGCTGCAGTTGACATCGTATATTGTTTCTCCTCACTGGGAAATTAACACACTGAGGCTATTACAGTTTTAATTTCATTCACAGTATCACAATTACCAGTAATTAAATCTCCGTCTTATCTTCCTCTCTAACAGCTACAGTGATGTTCAGCTGTGTTAAGGCTGCAGCAGCACAGACTGGAAAGAGTTGAGAATTACTTTCTCAGTTGGAATACGTTAATTATTATAGACCAGACTGTTAGTTTAGATTTTGATTGTGTTAAAAAAAACCGACAAGATGTTTGGTTTAGGCTGCAGAAATAAGCCTACAACTGTTTTTAATATTCCTCCCCTTACAGAAA